ATACAACACCCAGTCAGTGCTTATCCCAACAAGTGCCCTCCTCAAAGCCCATTACCCATTTTCTCCTTCTCATGTGCCCCCCACCACCAACCCTCAGTTTGTTCTCTGTATTTGAGAGTCTCTTATGGTTTGCCTCCCTCCCTCTCTGTTTGTAACTATTTTATCCCCTTCCCTTCCCCCATGGTCTTCTGTTAAGTTTCTAAAATTCCACATACGAGTGAAAACATATGGTATCTGTCTTTCTCTAATTTATTTCACTTAGCATAATGCCCTCCAGTTCCATCCACATCGCTGCAAATGGCAAGATTTCATTCCTTCTCATTGCCAAGTAGTATTCCATTGTATATATAAACCACATCTTCTTTATCCATTCATCAGTTGATGGACATTTGGGCTCTTTCCATAATTTGGCTATTGTTGATAGCGCTGCTATAAAACATTGGGGTACATGTGCCCCTACAAATCAGCACTCCTGTATCCTCTGGATAAATTCCTAGTAGTGCTATAAGAAAGAGCTTTTCTTGTCACTGTACTATTTTACCGTCCCAACAATTCGTACGATCTCTAATTTCTCTTCAGTCTTGCCAACACTTGGTATTTTTAAGTCTTTAATTTTCTTCATCATGGTGGATATGTAATGGTATATTATTGTAGTGTTAATTTTCATTTCTCTGATAACCAATGATGTTGACCATCCTTTCATGTACTGATTAACCATTTCTGACTCTTCTGGAAATTGAATTACATGTATGCTAGACCTTTCGACATTGTCCCAGTGGTCTCTGAAGTTGCATTCATTTTTTTCCAATGATTCTTTTCTCTGTTCTTCAAATTTGGTAATTTCTGTTGATCTACAAATTCACTGACTTTCTCTTTTGTGTATTCTGCTGTTATTCACATCTAGAAGACTCTTCAAAAAAATCATATTCTGTATTTCTCCATTCCAGAATTCCATTTAGTTCCTTTTTTAGGGTTTCTATTTTTCTGCTGAGATTTCCTATCTATCTATTCATTATGAGTATGGATAGTCACCTTTACATCACTGAATAGGGCAGCTTTAAAGTCCTTGTCTTCAAATTCCAACAACTGCATTATCTCAAGATTGGTCTCAGTTGATTGTCTTTTCTATTAAGAGTGGGCCACATTTTCCTGTTTTATCTTGTTTGTGCCTTAAGTATATTTGGATTGTTTCCTGGACACCGTCAATAATGTGACTGGAGATTCTGGATTCTTTTTTTTTAATATGAAATTTATTGTCAAATTCGTTACCATACAACACCCAATGTTCATCCCAACACGTGCCCTCCTCAATGCCCATCACCCACTTTCCCCTCCCTCCCACCCTCCACCAACCCTCAGTTTATTCTCAGTTTTTAAGAGTCTCTTATGGTTTGGCGCTCTCTCTCTCTCTCTCTCTCTTTTTTTTTTTTTTTGAGACTCTGGATTCTATTACATGACCCTGAAGAGGACTGATCTTTGTTTCATTCATTTTAGCAAGCAATTAACTTATCTGGATTCAAACTGAAAACTCTCAGCTCTTGGGCAAGCACTTCAATTCTTACTTCAATTCTTCTAGTCTAACTGGGCTGGTTGGAGTAGAGTTTAATCACGCATGTGTAGTTCAGGGGTCAACCTGTGATTTAGGCAGTGTACATACAAAATTTGTGGTTTTTGTTTTCTGCTCTCTGGGATACCACCCTCACTTTCCTGTAACTGTGGTTGCTCTGAAGCCTATTCTTCAAGCCAGAAAGATAGCAGGTTTTGTGAAGTTTTAGGCATCTGTTGGCCTGTAGGCTAAAATTTGTAAAAAGTGAAAAATTCCCCAAGTACCATTTCTTCTAGAATCACTCACTAATGGTCATTCTCTAATATCTTCAGGTTTTTGTTTTTACACCTTTTATTCTTAAATATTATTCAAGATTATATTATCTGTAGGGAATTGGTTGACAGAAACTTCCTCAGCCACTACTGGAAGCAAAACTGCCAGTACTTTTTATTTTCTTATTTATTTTTATTTTTTTATTTTTTAATATGAAATTTATTGTCAAATTGGTTTCCATACAACACCCAGTGCTCATCCCAACAGGTGCCCTTTAAAAGCGCAATTGCAATGCTCTAAATCACTGCAGTTCATAGGTAGCAGGTAACTCTCCCTATGCATGAACACCTTTGCTATTGTCAATTTGGTTATATGCATACCAAGACGTATTTGGTTTATAGAAGTTATAATTGTTATTATAACTATGTAATTTAAATAACTACAACATAAAACCAATGGATTATGAGTGTGAAGAGACTTGTCATTTCTATGAAAACTGCACTGAATGGTTTGAAAAGATTTATTAAAAGTTAAGTTGCTAAAAATTCCTGTGAAACTGGATGTAGTGAAGACAGCTGCAAACTAAAAAAAAAAGTCACATAACTTTAGAAGGAATCTGCATTCAGAAAATTTCATAAGAGTTGTTAAGATCTTGCTCTACTCTACAGAAACAGAAACTCTAAAATTTGTAGACAATGCATGGGTATGGTATGGCTTATGCAATAGAGAAGATGTAGATCTCCAATTGGTAGATTCACAAACACCTGTCTGTATATAAGATTGATGACTACAAATACATTTTATATGTTTTAAATGAAATAAAAGTTCAACATGGAACTGAATGATTTTGGTACCTGTAATGCTCCATTTTTGCTGAAGGATGAAACACACTGCATCAGTCGACTTAGTTCTTCAGAAACTGCTTCCACCACCTTGGCTAGAACTCGAGGTACCAATTCTTTGGAAATAGTGAACACCTGATGGAAGGGTTTAAAGTAAGAGCAAATGATGTGTTATAGGAACATTTCCTGACTTGAATTTGTTAAAAACAAAGAGATGCACAAAACAAAATAACTCACAGACCTTCTAAGCCATATTTTTAAAGGATCACAATTATGAATGAAAGGAAGATACAGACAGAAGATACAGTTGTACTAAGTGATTAATGGCAAAAACGAATCCTCTAAAAATATATAGGCAAATATAATTTTGAAAGGTGTTGTTGATGTTGACAAACTAAAAATAGTTTCAAAGATTTCATCTTCCTCTTGCCCTTTTCACAAAAGGAAATATTATAGAAATTATAGAAATAAAATTATAGAAATTTAGAAATATGAAATTATAGAAATAAAAACACACTGTGTCAGTTTTTTTTACCACAATTAAAAGAAAAACACATGGGGTCAGACTCTTCTTAGATCGAAACAAACACCGTATCAACTGGGCACATTATTGCATATTGGACAACAAAGTCCCCAATTTTATTGTTTGCCGAATTTCATATGTGTTTCCTTTCATTCGACAAAAAAGATTATTTTTAAACTTTGAATCTTGGTATTTTCAGAATAAGAACTATTATATTTGAAAATGTGGTGAAACATTTTACTATGTTGATTTATAAATTTGTCAAGTTAAGATCATGTGGGGGGCGCCTGGGTGGCGCAGTCGGTTAAAGCGTCCGACTTCAGCCAGGTCACGATCTCGCGGTCCGTGAGTTCGAGCCCCGCGTCGGGCTCTGGGCTGACAGCTCAGAGCCTGGAGCCTGTTTCGGATTCTGTGTCTCCCTCTCTCTGCCCCTCCCCCGTTCATGCTCTGTCTCTCTCTGTCCCAAAAATAAATAAATGTTCAAAAAAAAAAATTAAAAAAAAAAAAAGATCATGTGGGAAATAGTAAATAAACATTATGAATGAAATTCTACTTCCAGTCACTGGGATAAATTAGAAGGGGGTTTGAAAAACCTCATACAAATCATGGTTACTTATAGTGGACATTAATAAAAGCTGCCTCTTTAGGAATTACTGTCATCACTAAAAGGCATACATATTTTGCAATTCCTCTGTCTACTACAGAAATGCTTTCACTGAGTGATGATTTAATTTATACTCTAATTTTATTGGAAGCTAACATAACAAAAAAGCATTTGTATATCTTTGATGATAAAATCATTAAAAATGTATGTGATAAATTCTTGCTGGAGTTAAATCATATATATAATACTTCCATAGAAGAATGTGTATGTTTTCCTTTACTAAGAAATGAAAACATAACATACTACGTTTCTCTTTGTGCTCTAGCTGCTTCAAACTTAGAGACAAATTCAGGAACAAGATAGCATTCTCTGTTTCCTTTGGTTACTCTTTTGCTTTAGCCTTGATTATCCATGTTTTCCAGTTTATCTTGACAACCTCTGATACTTTTTGATGAAGACAGTGGTATAAACTAAATACACCTACATCAGATGCATGCAGCTTAAAAGGCACTCAAGCAACAGTGGAAATTATCTAATGATAACATCTTTGTGGGCCTTATTTTATCTGGTCACCAATCTGTGTATGAGCCGTAACCACTCTGAAAGTACTGGCAAAGCAGTGAGTAATGGATTGTGAAATTATAGAATTCGTAGTCATAGTGGGGATAATGGTGGTAGCTGTGCCTCTTTTGATGTTCCTTAGAAGAGTCCTTCTAAGAAGGACGTTAACAAAGGATGTTAACGTAAAGCTTAAGATGATAATGCTTCAAGTGAGGGCAAGTTTTAGCATGAACCAGAAGCATCAACATCCACATGTACCTAAGTCAGTCACTGATAGGAAACCATGCACCTGCTTCCTAACCTCGGCCTGCCCTTTGAGCCTATCTTTCTAACAAGTCTAGTTTTCTGGATTCCCAGCCACTATGTAAGAACACATTGCCACGTGAATAAGACACCAAAGCTTATTTGTATTCTGGGTAAAAAGAGGTTAATGAATTTTGCAAGATAAGGGATTTAATATTCCTTCCAAACCAAGGTGAAAAAAACAATCTCTCTTCTCCTTACCTTTTGAACATTAATGGATTTAGTTTTAAACACAATTTCAGAAAAAAAAAAAACTCTCATAGTAAAAGCACATGCGTGTGTGTGCATGTGTTAGAGTTGTGTTTTATTTATACCCAAGATATATTCTGAAGGGAAAAAAGACTACCAGAAAAACCATCAAATTTGCCTCTTTGTGTTGTTTTCCAGTTACCCATATTTCTTAAGAACATCTAATGACAGCTTACCTCTGCGTGCACAGCAATTATATTCACCAATGCTTCTTTTAAATAGTTTCTGACACCTGAAATCAAGAAGAGGGAGGGAAAAAAGGCATTTAATGGAAAAAAGCTACCCACCTCCCTTGACGGCATTACTGTGCACTGTACTACTGCCTTAGAGTTTTCTAAGGAGAAACAGAAAGTAACACTATCACTGTCTATTTCCTTTGAGAACCAAATGGTATTAAGGACTATTTTTGTTCAGGTTAAAAAAAAAGTTAAACATTTTCTTTCATTGTTTCTCTGTAACTGATGGTCAGTCTGCTTCAAAACTGAGATTTAAAACTGTCCTTCAGTTTCTTTATATACATGTTTCTTCATTTGTGTGTGTGTGTGCGCGCGCTCACCTACCTGGTACACACATACATTAGCAGATCAAAAAAGAAAAGACAAAAGGAAGATATTTACTAAAGCTTATAGAATCTACATATCTATTATAACATTTTACTTCCAAAGGTAAAAGTTAACTTATGCAGGCTATTTTGATCTTAAAAAATTACTTCTGGGAGAAATGTCTGACAAAAATCACAATCTCATTTTGTAAAGCAAGTTAAAGGTTAGTCAAAATACAAGATTTAAGGACAGTAAAGAATTAACAAATACTACTTCACTCAAAAGTAGGCACTCAATAGCAGGTGTGTGCAAGATTTAGTAGTGCAGGAGTCTGAAGTCAGTTTTGTCGCCTACAAGCTATGACTTTCGGCAAGAAAACTGGGAGCCCAGGTTTCTCTCCCATTAAAAAGTGTAAGAACAGTACCTACCTTGCAGGCTTGTAGTGAGGATTATAGGAAATAATGCATGTGATTGGTCCAGGTAACCACAGGGCTCATTAAGAACTTTCAATTATCATTATTTTGCAAGAAAAAAAATGTGAAAACAAGAAGCTGGTTTACTTTAATTCCAAAGAAATTATTTTTACTTGGAGTGGAATATTATTTCAGAATGCCTTCTAGAATTAATTGCAAATATTGAGAATTCCTTTTATACCAAAACAGAGAAAATTCTCTATTGTAAAATCATGGATGTTAACAGTAACTATGTTACAGTGTTAAGGAGAGTCTTTTCCTATTATGTCATCTAAGCTACTGATGATTTAGAAAGGTTGAGAATTTAAAAGCCAAGAACTATAACCAACTTTCTGAATTGACAGTTTTAGATTCTAAATGTATAACTAGTTTTTGATTCTGTCATATGCTATAGTTTTAAATAGGCACACTATTTTTCTTTTAAGAAGCCAATTTATATATACTTTGGAATATGGAGAGGCTCAGGTATTCTATTTTTCTGGTGGAAAAATTAAGAAATCTGTTGAAGAGTAAACAAATATAATCCAGAAATTAGTTGAAATTAACTAATTGCAAGGTAACAAGTCTTATCTGGGAGGTAAGCGAGGAAAATATAAGGAACCTATTATAAGTGAAAGTGAAATAAACTACCTTGTGCTCAAGACCAGAAAAGCTTTCTTCCTCTAAGAGGAAAGGCATACCACAGAGTTGTTCCCTTGGATTGTTTACCTGCTACAGTCAGAGCAACAGGGAGACCTGGGTGTAACATCTGTCTCTGATGACTATGACCACCTCAGTCAGTATGCCTCATCTTGTTCCTTGCTCTCTGGATAGTTCTTTCAAAGTGAGTGGAGGAAAGCAGGGAAGGGCTCTCTGGTTCCTGAGTTCATAATCACTGTGCTCAGGTCAAGAATTTTTAAACTGCAACCCTGTAAAAGACTAGCTCGTATATCTCTCTGTCTGTCTGTCTCTCTCTATCTCTATAGATAGAGAGAGAGAGACAGACACACACATACACTCCATGTATATAGTTACTAAAAATAGAAGCATAATCTTAGGCCAATGATGATATAAGGAACTTAAGAAATTCAACAGTTTCAGGACGCCTGGGTGGCTCAGTTGGTTGAGTGTCCGACTTCAGCTTAGGTCATGATCTTGCAGTTCGTGGATTTGAGCCCCCTGTTGGGCTCTGTGCTGACAGCTCAGAGCCCGGTGCCTGCTTTGGATTCTGTGTCTCTCCGTCTCTTTGCCCCTCCCTCGCTTGCACTTTGTCTCTCTCTCTCTCTCTCAAAAATAAATACTAAAAACATTAAAAAAAATTAAAAATAAAAAAGAAATTCAACAGTCTCTGCTCTTGGTGAAAACCAGGATCCTGTCAATGCATATGAACAAATGTCAAGAGGTTGGGTGCTAGAAATGTTCTAGCAGTGATGACTAGAAATGTGAGGGCAATTTTTAACTTCTAAAATTCTTCAATGTAAACGTGGGGTCAGAATGCTGACTAAAAAGCAGAAAATTAAACTTAGAATAAAGCAAGCCAGTGTCACATGCTATCAACTCAACTCCTACTCTGACCCTGATAGGAAAAACATTTCCTGGCAAGAACCCATCAGACTGGAGCATTACTAATAAAATACCCTGTAAAAGACATAAATCTAAATTACTCAATATAATTCTAAAGGCAAAGCTGTGAATAATAAGAATAAAATCACAGGACACTTTCCACCATCAGAACTATATTGCTGTTAATAAAAAAAATATGAAAACAAAATCAAGCTTCCTGTTTTAGGTTGACCACAGGTTTCACAAGGATAGTATGCTAAAAGGAACACACAGCCTCAACCGTAACAAATTGAGAAAAAAAAAACCAAAAAACAAAAACAAGAACCTGTATTTCTTGGAGACTTACTTTTTTTTGAATAGAGAAAATGAAATAATACCCCCCCCCCACCAAAAAATAAAACAACAACTGCTTCAAGGAATAAGTGGTAATGTTGGAGGGAAAAGGGAGGAAAAAAGTTTCTGTCCCTAGGGATGAACAGAAAGAGAATTCCTGATCAAACCACATGTCAGGTCAGTAAGGGTTCAAAAAGATAACATTAAATTGAATGCATATGAAAAATACATGCTAACTTACAGGAGGAGATTTGTGAAATATTATTATAACCTTCCAAAGCAATGTATATGCTGGTGTTAAGAACTTAAAAATTTTAAAAATATGAAAATAAATGATTGTCTCTCTCTAAAAAGCTACCCATTGTATTAAATACAGAGATAAGTATTTTTTACTGCATATTGGGCTGAAATTGTTGTTAGTTCTAAGGGAATGGCTAAAAGGTCTCATTCATTCATTTAACATCAATTTGTTGAGATTCTACTTCATGGTGGACTCTGATAGGCACACATCAGATTTAGTGAGACATTAGGTTTTTCAAGTAGAATATGTGTATATCCCCAGTATGTGTAAGACCCCAAAGTGCTTAGTTGTTATGTTTTACCCTAATGTACTAGTATTCATATAGGTGTTTTAAGTTGTATGTAGCAAATCCGTAGTATGAAAGGGTTTTATACTGTAAAACAAAATCTTTGTTTTATACTAATTTGTGAAACATTTACTTGTGATTTCCTTTTTGTCAAGTTCTTGAAAGGTTAAAGAATAGTATTTGGGAGGGGTGGAGGAAGGGCACTGGACCTAGAGACTAGACAGCGTCCGTGTCTAGAGACTGAGGTCTGAAGGTTCACAAACATGAAACAGATAAGATCTCTGTGATCTTCCTAGTTAAGAATTTCAATTCCTTTCTCTTTATTCCACTCAATAGCCAGTTATCAGCCTAAGGAGAAACAAAACCAGTATCACACCCTACACACTAGCCAACCTAGTACCTACCCTACTCACTCAGGGGTCTACACTGAGCCTTTCAGATGTGTTTCTAAAAAACTAAACATAGATTAACCCCTTGGTTTTAACTGCTTTTTGAGTTTTCTGGCTCAGTTGGTTGAGCGTCTAACTTCAGCTTAGGTCATGATCTCAGCCCGTTTAGTGTCCAACTCTTGATTTTGGCTCAGGTCATGATCTCACAGTTCATGAGATCAAGACCCATGTCAGACTTTACGCTGACAGTGTAGAGTCTGCGTGGGATTCTCCCTCTCCCTCTACCTCTTTCTCTCTCTTTCTCAAAATAAATAAATTTTTAAAAAGTGTTGCTCCAATTCTAGCTGTAGGAGGATGTCAATTCTTTCAAAGATCTGTACTCTCCCCCCCCCCCCCCCCCCCCAAAAAAGCCTATAACAGTGGCAGGATGCCAGAGGTTGCCTCACTTGCTCATGTGGCACTATGTCAAAGGACCCCATCAAAACACAGGTGACAGAAGGTAGCAATCTTCTTTTGGATGGCTAGACTGATCAATTTGCTCTTTTCTGACCTCAAAGAGGAAAGTACATGGAGATCATGACAAAAGGAGAGAAATACAATTACTCAGAGTTGAAAGAGAACAGATTTGGGTTTTGGAGAACGTAAAATTGGGTCTTCCCACTAACAACTGAGCTAACTTCCTTGAATGGAACAGGTTAGATTTATAAAGCAAGAAAGAGGTAGTAAGGATGCCAAGAAAGATCCTAGAGCCATCAGAGAAGAGTTGTACATAAATTTTGTTATTAAATTGGCTGAGGCCTTGAAGTGGATGGCAGGGTTTAAAGGGACCATGGTCATGGTACCTGGAGACAGGACCAGGATTTTATTTTAGGTTATGGTACTATTTTCAAAAGTTCCATGTCTATCACAAAGGGACCATTTTGTAGTTGATTTTGGTGGTATATGTTTCCTTCCGACTAGACTTTATTTTAAGATTATTAACATTAATGGTTGATGATTACTTTTAAGTTCATTGAGGTAACAGAAAGAATACTCAATGTAAAGCCAGAAGACTTGGGATCAAAGTCCTGGCTTATCTATACATAATGATATGACCCTAGACAAAGATCAGTTCACCTTTTAGACAACTGCCTACTTTACAAAATGTAGACATTACAATGTCTGTTTTGCTATCAGAGCTGTTACAAAAATGTGATATATATTTATTCCCTTATTCTTTAAATATTTTTTGTGTATCTATTATGTGCTAGGCACTGACAGATGATGGTATACAAAAGAGAGCAAAACAGAAATGGCCCCACCCTAAGAGAACTTATCTCCATGGTAGGGAGCACTTTGTAGATTACAGTACAGTACACACATTTCA